TATTTTATATAAAACAGGTGGCACTACCTATTTTAGTCTAGTGGTCCCATTATACATAAAATACTTGGCATCCTTATGCGAGGTATAACTAGATAATAAATTTTAACAAACCCTATCCTTTGTGGCATCAGATAAGTTAAAAAATTATTATCTAAGTTATATCTCTATGATGGAAGACCTTTAGATTTATATTTCTTAAAAAATTAATCTATCTACACTTCTATACAACTTTTGTTATTTATTATAACTGAGAGAAAATAACAACAGTCAATTTCTAATAAATTCTAAACTGTCTTATTTAATAAAACAAATTCAGAACAATTCTGGACCTTACAGTAATTTTTCATGTATTACTTTAATCACATGAATTATTGAATTTAAACAATTTAAAATCAACATGATCATATCACAAGTATAATACAAATAATATTTCAGAAATATACATGATACAATATCATTTCTAACAATTCACTAAGAGTTAGATAATCTTTTCAACAAAGGAAACTAAACTATACATGCATATGGACTTTTGAACAAATTCTGTAAGTGCTAGGGACTAATCAAAAATTAGTCTATATATTCAGATGGATCTTAAAACAGTTTCAAAATCTATCAGGAGGGTGAAGCTAATTTCACATCAAAATTAATATACTAGTAGACTCAGAACAATTTCTGGATCAAACAGGGGTCTGTAACTAATTTTACAGTTATTCATCAATACTGGTGGACTTCAAAACAGTTTCTGAATCAAACAGGGGTCTGATAGCAATTCATCAATATTCACAGACTCCAGAACAGTTTCTGGGTTTTTCAGGGAGCTATAACTAATTTGATAGCGTGTTTGAGAACCTGATGGACTTCAGAACAATTTCTGGATCAATCAGGGGTCTAATAATAATTTTACAGTAAAATTCAAATTATCAGGGTTTCGGGTTTGAGTTCTGTTTGCGGGTCAAACCCGTTTCATTAAACTTAAGTCTTAATGGGTTTGGATACATAACCCTTTATGAAAATAACCCATTAAGATCATCTTCTTCAATGAAGACCTAGGGTTAGGGTTTTGCTATAATTGTGGGATAGCCCACCACCACCAATTGTCCGGCGGCGGCGGCGGCGGTGAGCCCACCGCGGCCGGCGGGGCAACCGCACCGGCGGCCTATCTCCGGCGACCATCTCCGGCGATCAACCTTTTTTTTTTGTTTAATATTGTTGTGAGATCAAATCTCAACTCCGGTCATCTCCTCCTCCGCCGCCCATCCAATAGGCCACAACTACATTGATAAAGTAATTATAACAATTTAAAAACTCTATTTAGATCAAATCTAACAATAAGCTAAATATTACAACAATTGAAAAAGAAAAATTCTTTGATCTAATCATAAGAATTTTAACCCATAAACAATAACCCACTATTGTAAACATTGATTTCAGGTTATGAACAGTACCCACTCCGGCAGTGAACAGTGTTCTCGGCGATGAACAGTACTGCCGATCCGTGAACAGTAACCCCGGAAAATGAACAGTGTTTCCGGTGATGAACAATACCGCCGGCCGTGAACAGTGTTTCCTGGCCGTGAACAGTACCCGGACTTTTCAACCATTTTTTTTTTCAATTTAATCCAATTAAAAATGTCAAAATAGATCAAAATAAGATAATTTAATCCGATTAAATTATTACAGATTGGATTCTGAACCCGCTCTGATACCATTTGTTGGAATCATGACATACAACGCAGCGGAAAAAGCATATCATGACTATTAATCAAAATTAATTAAATATTAGAAGAATACCTGAAACGCTTTCCGAATTTCTACAATAATCTGTCCCGAGATCAATCCAAAATAGCTTCCTCAAGAGAAAAAGCCTCCAATTGAAATCCACCCGTCACCGTAGAGGAGCAATACTGAGAGATAGGTTCTCAAAAATCTATTTCTTCATATTATCTTCATAAGATTTTGAATCTCTTCTCTTAACCTCTCATAAGGCTACATATGAACCCTATTTATAGGATTACACTAGTCTTAGAGATTTTAACTTTAAACAATTCATAATTATCTAGAACTCTATCCATAACAATTAAGGATAGAATAGATTTGTTCAAAAACTTTATCCATAACAATTAAGGATAGAAATAGATTTATTCAAAAACTTTATCCATAACAATTAAGGATAGAAATAGATTTATTCAAAAACTTTATCCATAACAATTAAGGATAGAAATAGAATTGCATTGCATGTATACCTCTTCTAATGACATTAGTGAGACCAATTGGGTCCCATATCGAGAACCAATTATTAATCAAATTAATAATTTTAATTTAACAATCAAATCCCTATCCGACCAATTGTTCATAAAAGCTCTTCCATAATATGGGATTAATTATTAATAAATAATATCTTACATTCAATCCCTTCCAGTATCATTTATTCTAGGCAACTCTTTTAAGTAGGACAACTCACCTATTTGCTCATGTCTAAATTTGCAATTCCCATGAACATAAATAAAAATTATTTTGAAACATCAAAATATTTTATTTTTTATAAGAAAATAAATTTTGTAAAAATATTTTCAAAGCTACCTGCCGGCAGGAATTTAATAGCTTCATGGGAATGCATAATAAATTAACTCATCATAATGAGCATACTGGATCCTATCTAGACATCCATCATTTTCCTAAATGAAATTTAGCAACCCAATGTTTCAGGTTGTGTAGCGCTTGCTAAACAAGCTTAACCATCACATCAAAGCATACTAAATTATCAAATCGAAAATGATAATATCATCAAGTCAAAGGGACCATGTAACAATTTGAACTCTCTATCTCTTAGGTGACTCATCCTAGAGAATTCAAATACGGTCTAGTGCTACACACATCATAATGCGTGCTTATGACATACACCCGGAGAATCTCCATTCTCGATGGTTGAGACCCACCACCATATCTCATATATCGGTGTCATGCATAATAACCTGTTATAACAAAGTTATCCTTTACTAGTTATAGGTTAAGCACAAATTTAAGAAATTTCTAAGTTAGATCATATCTCCAAGCAAGTGACCATCACAATGCATGATCTAACAAAATAACTTCTAAGGATATATATAACAATTATATAAATAATAACCAAATTATGTGCAACAATTAAATTTATTAACATTACAATATTATTACATAATTTGTATTGGATGTTCAAGGGCAAATTATTATTACTATTCCAGCAATCTCCCACTTGCCCTAACATCCAATCAGATATAATCCTTACTCCCATCTGTCAAAAACATTTTAAGACAATGGTCTATAAAAGGACATTAAATGTTATCTGCTCAGCCATCTATTAAACCATAACATATTTCTTCTTATTAACCTTTAATAAGATAATTTTTATTGGATTCTAAACCCGCTCTGATACCATCTGTTGGAATCATGACATACAATGCAGCGGAAAAAGCATATCATGACTATTAATCAAAATTAATTAAATATTAGAAGAATACCTGAAACGCTTTCCGAATTTCTACAATAATCTGTCCCGAGATCAATCCAAAATAGCTTCCTCAAGAGAAAAAGCCTCCAATTGAAATCCACCCGTCACCGTAGAGGAGCAATACTGAGAGATAGGTTCTCAAAAATCTATTTCTTCATATTATCTTCATAAGATTTTCAATCTCTTCTCTTGACCTCTCATAAGGCTACATATGAACCCTATTTATAGGATTACACTAGTCTTAGAGATTTTAACTTTAAACAATTCATAATTATCTAGAACTCTATCCATAACAATTAAGGATAGAATAGATTTGTTCAAAAACTTTATCCATAACAATTAAGGATAGAAATAGATTTATTCAAAAACTTTATCCATAACAATTAAGGATAGAAATAGAATTGTATTGCATGTATACCTCTTCTAATGACATTAGTGAGACCAATTGGGTCCCATATCGAGAACCAATTATTAATCAAATTAATAATTTTAATTTAACAATCAAATCCCTATCCGACCAATTGTTCATAAAAGCTCTTCCATAATATGGGATTAATTATTAATAAATAATATCTTACATTCACTCCCTTCCAGTATCATTTATTTTAGGCAACTCTTTTAAGCAGGACAACTCACCTATTTGCTCATGCCTAAATTTGCAATTCCCATGAACATAAATAAAAAACATTTTGAAACATCAAAATATTTTATTTTTTATAAGAAAGTAAATTTTTAAAATATTTTCAAAACCACCTGCCGGCAGGAATTTAATAGCTTCATGGGAATGCATAATAAATTAACTCATCATAATGAGCATACTGGATCCTATCTAGACATCCATCATTTTCCTAAATGAAATTTAGCAACCCAATGTTTCAGGTTGTGTAGCGCTTGCTAAACAAGCTTAACCATCACATCAAAGCATACTAAATTATCAAATCGAAAATGACAATATCATCAAGTCAAAGGGACCATGTAACAATTTGAATTCTCTATCTCTTAGGTGACTCATCCTAGAGAATTCAAATACGGTCTAGTGCTACACACATCATAATGTGTGCTTATGACATACACCCGGAGAATCTCCATTCCCGATGGTTGAGACCCACCACCATATCTCATATATCGGTGTCATGCATAATAACCTGTTATAACAAAGTTATCCTTTACTAGTTATAGGTTAAGCACAAATTTAAGAAATTTCTAAGTTAGATCATATTTCCAAGCAAGTGACCATCACAGTGCATGATCTAACAAAATAACTTCTAAGGATATATATAACAATTATATAAATAATACCCAAATTATGTGCAACAATTAAATTTATTAACATTACAATATCATTACATAATTTATATTGGATGTTCAAGGGCAAATTATTATTACTATTCCAGCAGTATATATGCCATGTAAACTTATATTTACTGAAATATCCAGAAGTTTTTGTGCCATAAATCACTCGTTTTAGCTACTGCATCTATTGTGCATTTCTAACGATGACGATAATCAACAGAAAACTATGAGAAATGGGGAGCAGATGGTAAATGGTACTTCTTCACCACAAGAGATCGCAAGTACCCCAACGGCTCTCGTCCTGCACGCCACACTCATGATGGATCCGGGTACTGGAAAGCTACAGGATCCGATAAGCTTATGCAATGTCCTGGAAACCATTTTGCACTGAGTAAAAGTCTGGTGTATCATTTAGGAAATTACCCTAATGGTACAAGGACCAACTGGGTCATGACTGAGATTGTACTCACTGATGCCGATAAAAAGCCAGTTTATGGCTTCTCACTATGCACCATCACAAGGAAAAAAGAGGATGGTAGAAGAAGAAGAAGGAACAATGATGATGAAGCTAGCTCCAGTAATCAAGTTCCTGAAAACTTGCAGATAGTCCCTCTAGAATACAATCAAGAAGTTAACCATGTATGAAGCCTGCAGGCTGAGGTAATATCACTCTCCGATAATGCGGTGACCACAAATAAGTCATGGGTTATGATTGAGGATTTGCTGATTGAATCGGTTACAGGTTTCGATTCAGGGCCTTGTGATCTCTATGTGATATGTCCAGCTGCGTTTCAAGGAATTTTTCAGGCAAACAATCCTAAAAATACAAACATGTAATTGTTTTTAGTAACGTGTGTCAGTTTCAGTTTCATGTAGTAAAATTTAGTTTGTAGATACTCGTTAAATTTCTGAAGGGTGTAATTTGTGACGTTGATTCTGAAAGTGTAAGAAGAAGTAACTTCAAACCTTGTGCCCTCCTGTTTTCTGAGAACAATTGTTACTTTCAGGATGTTTTTTTTTTAATGGTAGTTTATCAGTCGATTGGTGAAAAGCTATTTGTAATCAAATTCTTCTTGTGAAGGTAGTGTTAGATTAAACGAGATATCAATGTGAGAAAATAAGTTTGTAGACTGAAGAAGTTAATCAAGTACTTAGGTTATATAAGCAATCTCTAAAATTTAAAGTGACCCATGTCATGTGAATAGGAGAAGGATAATTTATTATTAATTATTTTTTGAGAGTACTTATCAATACAAGATATTCCTCCCAACATTTTGGAGTTGAAGATATTATTAACGAAATATTTGTTCCAGTAAGGGGGTTAAAGTAAAGTTAAAACATAAAGGGACTAAGTAGCAAAACTTGGGCCCCTCTCTTACAAGAGAGAAAAGCCCGTGGGGAAAAAAAATGAAAATTTGAGTAGTTCGAGCGGGCAGTGGGATTTTCTTATTTTCCCCAAATTCTAGGGTTTCTAATTTCGATCAGCGTAAGATTCAATGGCACCCGCGAACGAATCAGCTCCGGCGAGCTCGAGGTATTCGAACCTCAAAAAATCGTTTCATCTCGGAGCTCGATCTCTGCTCACCGCCTTCTCAAAGGAGGTAATCTCACTCTGGCACTCAAATCCCTTTTCATCTCTCCGACGTTTGAAATGAAACCCATGTTTTTGTCGTTAATCATCGTTGATATGTTGTGTGAAAGTTGCAATTTTGAGTTTTTTTTTAAATGCTCGTTCCTTCTCAATTTGTGCCTTTTAATCAAATTGCGGAATTCTGTATCATAAACGTTAATAAGAAAGGGAACGTACGTTTTTATTCTCCCATTGACAAAAAAAAAATTAACAAACTTTTACGGGCTTAATTGAATTCAAAATGTATAATCAGTAGTCAGAAAGAATAATGTCGCATGGTGTAATTTGGCAAATATGAACTTGTAGGATGTTGACAAAGTTTTTTCTACTTTTACCGAGGCGGAGAGAGAAAGGCTATATCGGATGATTATTCAGGTAATTTCTGTACATTTCCAATGTCTATATTACGAGCTCTAGGCTTTATTAGAAACTTAAGAGGTAGCGACTTTTTTTCTGTTGGAAACAAAATCATATTGTTTCTGCTGAGCCATGTTGTGCCCGTGCTCCCTTTTTCAGGTCATTAAATCGTTGCATGAGAATATAGAGGTAACGTTCTATACTTTGACTATTTTTATTGAGTGGCAAGTTAACATCAAATCCTCACGGTTCGAAGTTTCTCTGTAATCTACTTATTATCTACCCTACGCTTTCAGACATGCTAATATTGCTTGACTTGTGCATGAATGGTTTGTAGAAAAGCTGTTATAACTGAAACTAAATACCTTGATACCATGGCTGCTGCTGCAATATGTAGCTTCTTTATTCTTAGTGGTTATTTTTCTGTAGAACTTCAAAATCTGTGTGTGCTTGTGGAACTGTTTATTTCTTTATTAGGCTTGCCATGATATTAGATGATAGTACCTCGCTAGTAAGAAACTCATTGGATTATTTTTCATAGATATACAATAGAATTGGCAGTTATTCATATATATATATATATATATATATTAATATATATAGGGTATTATAGTATATATATATACTATATGAGAAAAATGGGTATGCTTTACCAACACAAATTTTGCTGCTTGGTAGTTGAGGTGGCTCATTCCCTCATCCCACTCATTCAATTGGGGCGCCGACCAATTCAACCCGATGCTGAATCGTGGTTCACCCATTTTGAAATGGTGGAGGATAATATGCCACCTCATCCAAGCCCACGAAATGTTTGTGCCCTTCAGAGGGGGGCTACCCAATCATACCCCATTTTCTCTCTCTCTCTCTCTCTCTATATATATATATATATTATACTATAGATGCAGAGACGAGAGAGAGAATATGCGGTCATGCCTCTTGTACCAAGGCCACAAATTGCCATGTGCTGGGTAGTGAGGTGGCATACTTATCCTCACTCATGCAAATGGGGTGACCACATTCAACATGGGTTGAAGTGGCCGCCAATTGAAATGATTGGATGGGAATGAGAACCTCACTACCCAAGCCACAAAGTTTGCTGCTTGGTAGTGAGGTGTCTCATTCCCATCCACTCATTCAATTGGGGGACCACATTCAAACCCATGTGAATGTCGGTCACCCCATTGATGAGTGGGAGGATAATATGCCCACCTCACTACCAAGCCATAAATTTTCTGCTTGGTACCAAGCATACCCATATTCCTCTCTCTCTCTCTCTCTCTCTCTCTCTCTCTCTCTCTATATATATATATATATATATATATATTAATATATATATATATATAGATATTAATATATATATATATAGTATATAATAAAGGTTGTGGAAATCAGTCTTGTTAGCTAAAGTTGTTTTGGTGTACTACCTAATATCAACCTATAATTTGAAGTTTTTCCTGCTTCCTGACTTCTATTGACCTTGTAATATCAGCGAGTGAGACTCATCGAAGATCTTTCTTTGAGTTGTTTTAGTCTTTTAGGGGTAGAGATCCTCTACATATTAAAGTGTAGAGACCACCTACAACTATATAGGAGGATGAATAAGATTGGTTATTACAATGGGCCACACAATTAAGAGGGTTTTTATATAATTTATTTAGTTAATATAATACACGGGGTCGATATAGTGAGAGAAGGCTATTGGTGAGTTGTGGACATCCTCTACAATAATCTAGGATGTAGAGGATCCCATGTCGTCCTTTAGACGTGCCAATGCTTTTTTTGTTATTTGTATAAATGTATATCTTAAGAAAGAGGACTACATATATCATGATGGTGTGACTTTCATGAAACCTTTTTTCCTTTTAACTCTTAGCTCTATCAAAGTCAAATATCTGCTGCTTGATAATCGCCACCTGCCTCATATTGCACCTGCTGAATGCTGTGTATGAATTTTAGATTTGGGATAATCTTGTCATTTTCCACTGCAGTAAATTTTTTAGTATTGTAATATCAATCAGTTAAGCAAACATAGAAATCTTATTATCACCACTTCTTCTTGGTTTCAAGCTATAGTGGATTTATGTCCTGATAGTTCTTCAAAATCTCTCCTTACTTGACTATTTGTCTTTTTTTGTTATCATGTTTATTTTTTGCCTATTGAGTTTTTTCTGGTAACCTAGTGTAACTCTATGGTAATTATTTTAGTGATGCTTGTTTTCGTTAAAGGTTTTCAACATGTAACTGAGTTTCTTTTCTTTCATCTTACAGGATGAGTTTGAGTCTATATGTCAGGAAACACAGGTGCAATAAATATGCCTTCTGAAAAATCTGCAGGTTATCGCAATTCAGTTTTTACAGTTCCCACGTCTCTTCTTGAGACACTGGTTTGGCTGGGTTCATTATTGTTTCATGGGTTTTTGCTCGTCCTAGATTAGACTGCTACATCCTTAACCTCCATTTAAATCCTAAAATGGCACTATTTCCCTAAACAAGGACAGATCAAATCTAAACTCAATGTGCATTCCAAATCTCTTATTCTTTATCAGATGATGTTACAAAGAGATCCTAATTGGATGTGCCACTTGACCACTCCAAGTTACATAAATATACCAGATATCAGAAAGTATGAATATTGGTCTATAATCATTATTATATTAAATGATTTAAAGCCAAGTTCTTATATATAATCATTATTATATTAAACGATTTAAAGCCAAGTTATTATAAGTGTCAGTTATATTTCCTTCAGATGCTCTGTTGGGTGTACACCGAACTAATTAGCTTTTTATCCCTCAGGGATATGAGATGCCGAACTCAACAAATATTAAACTGTTTTTACATAGAGGGACCTTGATAAATGTCCCTGTATTTACACAGAGGGACCTTGATAAATGTCTAAGTGTTACCCATCTCTTGGTTCATACAAGACATGCTAGCACTTTAAATATCCTAAAAGGGTGAGAGTCGAATTTTGACCCCGGACTCTAAAACTAGTTTCGCGGCAAAATTTGAGATCCAAGATTGGTCAGAAACTATAATAAATACGCAATTCTTGGTTAATTTTAAAATGCTCAATATCTTGACTAATTTACTTAAACAAAAATTAGTTAAAACTGTGTTTTAATCCGGACGCACCGTGATTATGAAATGATAACGATGTCATTTTTACAGGTGGGTGCTGTTCTTGATAAGATAGAGCAGCTCATAGAAGAGCAAAATCTTGACATTCTATCTACAGATAGGTGACTACGCTTTTACTTTCTTGTCTAATCTCATTCCATCATGGAATATCTATGCAATTTGGTCTGGAAGTATTCGCATGACGTGTACATCAGAAAGTTGACTATCTCAATTTTTATAACATATTGATTACCAGTGAGTGTGTGCGTGTGTTATCTAAATTAGTTAACTTTCTGAAATAAGTTTGTGAACTATGAACACTTTTTTTGCTCAAAAATGAAAAAAGAAAAAAAGAAGAAAGAAAAGAATCATGAGATGCTTGCATAAGTAATGATCTTCAATGGCTTATAAGCAGGAAAAACATCGACGATGTGAAAGAGAAGATATCGAGAGCAAAGCTGGATGAAGTCAAGTATCTGACAAACCTGTTAGAAAAGGTAAATCTGGTGAAACCTTACTGGATTTCCCTTTGTCTACTACTGGAAGTAGGCAATTTTTTTATTCTTTTAAACAAGATTAACCTCAATGCAATTGCATTCTTTGATACTGATAGTCGCGAAGATGGAGATCTAATTCGAGCAGTATGTGTTAATTAATAGTAACTTTATGTTGAAAATAAAGGACTAACATTGACACAGCACAATGTTCAGTAGAAAATGTTCACCAGTGAAGATTGATTGTTCAGTTCTGTTTTAGTTAACTGCACTGCCTGGCTATCTTATGGTGCTATCCAGATGCATTACCATAATGCTTTTGTAATATCGGTGTATCTATAAATTGTGTAAATTCCCCCCCTAGCTTTTAAAAATGTCACGTAACCCCCCTAACTTTTGGGGCTTTCAACATCCTTCTAAACTGTGTAACCCAAATTCTTTTTCCTATGTGAATGTCACCAAACCCACAATGTTTTGTTTGTAAGTATTGATACATAAATTTCAGATATCATTGTTTTACTTACTGCTTGCATTTCACAAGTTCAGGCTGAAGAGCAGAACAATATTATGAGTGCCCGAATCAGATCCCTCAAAGAGAGGCAGCAGGATCAAGCCGTAACTGCTGACGTTGTGGAGAAGGTAGAAAATCTCTTGCTTTCCCCTTTTCTCCTGCCGCAAATGGAAAATATTATCCTACTTATTTTTATTACGGATGAAACCTTATATATATATATTACATTTTGCAGTTCAAAAGCTGGACATCAAGCTATGGTGGATGCCACTGAAGCTAAAACGTCTACCCTGTAATTAAGTTCTTTTGGAAATGTAAAATTCATACTCCAGAGAAGTTATTGGAGTGGCACTATATCTCTTCATAGAAGTCGCTTTTAATGCATCTCTCCTTTGTAGTTTCAAACTTTCAGTAAATTAAAAACTACATTAGACTACGGTGAACATTTAGGCATCTTGAACAAAACTAGCATAACTTTTTTTTTATTATTAGAAGAGAAAAACATCGCCCTGGATCTTTAAAAAAAACCCAGATATTCAAGAAAATAGTCTGCATTAAAAATATCAAAATCTCTGTGTCATTTAAGAAGGGAGAAAGATTGACAGAGTTGTTATATAAAGTAATTAAGGACAAAATTGTTTGAAACATGTCACTGCTTCACATCTGTTTATAGGTTTTATTATAATATAGAGTGGAAGATTTCAACTATCTTCATTCCTTAGGGTCTGTTTGGTTGGTTTCGGAGGAGCTCGAAAGCTGCCACAGATGGGAGCTTTCAGGTTCTTTCCCACCAAAAAATAAAGAACCAAACGGACCCTTATTCGCTCGTATTTGGTGCGCTCGATGCGTGCATGATAAAGTATACACTTTTACAAAGTAAAAATGTTGTTAACACGTAAGTAGTGTATTTGGACGGGGGTTAGAGAAGGGTAGGGGAAGTTAAAATTTACAAAACCTTTGTTTTGGAGCTTTTCTTGAGAGTGTTAAAAGGATGGAAGGGAATGTACAAATTGAGAAGATTTCCTCTCCCTAAATCCGGAGTGTAGAGGATGTAAAATAAATAGTATAAATTTTAACAACATAGATAGACAATTTTTCCCTCCCTCTAGTAAAACTCCCAAATAAGATAAAATAAGTTTACTTTCATTCTCTCTGTTAAGCTCTCAAATAATATTTTATCTTTTTCCTCTCCTACTCTACCTTTCCTTTCCATTACTTAATTCTCCTTCTCTTTCCATAGTAAATTGCCAAACAAAGCGTAAGATAACAACACAATGTTACTTTAAAATAAGACTAAAAGGCCAATTTAGTTCTTATACTAGGTCTTCATATTCAAATTGGTCCACGTGTACATTATTTTTTTTAACTTAGTGCTCGTACCTCTAGTTAAATGTGAATTTAGTCCTTTATTTTTATCATCCGTTAAATATTTGGTGTTAACCTTTTTATTTATACCCATGGTACCCTCGATGACATAAATAAATAAATAATGATCCCTGTGCTTTTTACTTTCTCACTCTATTGACTTTTTAGAGAAATGGACGGGATCATGCAAATTATGCAATCCCTGAGAATCACCTAAAAATTCTTTTTTCCCCGCCCCATTCATAGAGTGAAGAGATAAAATTATTAAAATATGTTACCGTTACCTAGTTCACCGGATCGACCCTCAAACTTGGTTACTTTTTTTAATATACTCGGTTCCTTGAGATCTTTTTATTTAATCAGTTTTCTAAGATCATCTTACTTAACCGCTTGTTTAAGGTCATTCTGTAGATCTAATCAGGGTTTTCCCCGATACTTTTAATAAAATCAGCTTTTTAATTAATGGGAAAGAACAACTAAACGATTGACTTATTTTTTGGGTGATATTGTCCTTTCATATTTAATTTAACAGAATATTTTACGGATGTTAAAAATAGACTAAATGTATACTCAATAAGAGGTACAGGGGCTAAGTTAGAAAAAATAAAGTATCGGGTCAATCTCTTGTAAGACGTTTTCCACTTTTATAGGACTATATTATATTATTTTAGTGTGGAAAATTAATGATCCATTTAATGGGAAGTTGCCAATGATCAAGGCAACTACCCATGATCTTCCCCCACATTTTGGAAACCACCCACTCTTTCACTATCTTGTCCACTACTCTATGATGGCTAGAGTAGTATAAGTAGACAATGTGTGTTTCATGAAAGGTCACCAAATCTACTCTCATATTTTATACACCATCTAAAAGTGAAATGAGGGTTTGGAACCATCAACATTAATTAGAGCTTTCTAAAGTGCTACTGAGGTTTTTCAAAAGCAATGGCTGGAGGTAAATTAATCGATCTTATCTTGTTGCTTCCGCTTTATTATTATATGTTCATATGGAAATTAGAACATGTAAATTTATGTGATATGTTTTACATTTGGTATCAGAGCAAATAATTATCTCTGTCTTGCTTACTATGAAATCCGGAGTCTTATTATAATTTTAATATGGTTAAGATAAAATGATACAATAAGACATGAAGTTTTGTTTCGTGAACAGTAGCAAATTATTCCAATTCCTTTCTCATGTTTCACCCATAAAGTAGTCACATATTTATAGAAATTGACGTACAGTAAGCATGCCCAAGTGCCTTCTTTGCGTTCTGGTATTTTGTTTACTGATGTATGATTAACTTTTGTGAATTGGATTGGAATTACGTTTCAGATTCTAATAAATTGAATAAATTTCATCTAGTTTCGACATTTAGTCCATGATTCTATATTAAATTATTGTTATTCGTTATTATTATGTTGAAGTGAATAAATAATTTATTAGAAGATTATGTCAAGTGATTTGTTAATTTTATTAATTAGAGAGTAGCCACAGCATCTCTAGTTATTTAAAATTTTTATGGAATCACATGTAGAAACTAGACATTAATTTGTAATTAATTGTATGTAATATGATTAAATATGCCCACGGGAAATTTGATTATATTTGTATGATTAATTGGGATGAAATATAAAATTATGTTCCTTAATCTACCCACAGGAATTAAGGAATGAATATAATTTGATAGTTTCATCATATGGTTATTTTTATGAATCTAATTTGAGTAGGACTTTAGCCCACAGCAGGTTTTATGTCACTAGATTCATATTTTGCATGGTTTACATTGGTAAAGCATGATAAAGTTAAGTCTCAATTTTGTTAATAAGCATGTATATATATATTTGTTTGCAGCAATTTTACCTGGGAATATTTCTGATGTCAATTGTGACATTCCTGAATTAAGGGGTGATAACTATAAGGTGTGGAAAGAAAGAGTGCTTCTGCATTTGGGATGGATGGATATCGACTATGCTATTCGGAAAGACGAACCACCGGGTATAACTGAAACTAGCACTCCAGATGCAGTTAATCTTTATGAAAAGTGGGAGCGATCTAATCGCCTCTCCGTTATGTTCATAAAGACCAAAATTTGTGCTAGTATTCGGGGTTCTGTCGATAAGCATACTAAGGTTAGAGATCTCCTTTATGCCATTGATGAGCAGTTTGCAACTTCTGACAAAGCTCTTGCTAGCACCTTAATTATGAAATTCTCATCCATGAGGCACCATGAGACTAAGGGTGTGCGTGATTATATCATGTGCATGAGGAATATTGCGACCCAACTTAATACTTTGGAAGTTACCATGTCTGACTCTTTCCTAGTGCATTTCATTTTGTGCACACTTCCTCCACAGTATGGCCCCTTTAAGATCTCTTATAACACACATAAGGATAAATGGTCAATTAATGAACTTATGACCATGTGTGTTCAAGAGGAGGGCAGACTAGTGATGGAAGAAGGTGAGAAGGTGAACCTTACTACTGGTTCTTCTTCAAAGAAGAAAAAGGATCACATTGAGCAAAAGGGAAAGATTACAGCTAAGCAAGGCATAAAGAAGGAGTCTGCGTGTTTCTTTTGTAAAAAGAAGGGACACATGAAGAAAGACTGCATTAAGTTTAAGACTTGGCTTGAGAAGAAAGGTAATTTTCTTGCGTTCGTTTATGAATCTAATATGGTTAATATTAATCATAATACATGGTGGATTGATTCCGGTACTACAATTCATGTTTCGAATACCTTACAGGGTATGACAAACCTAAGGAAACCAATGGGAAGTGAACACTACATCTATTCAGGCAGCCAGATGAGTTCATATGTGGAGGCCGTTGGGACATACAGTTTAATTCTTAGTAGTGGTTTTATTTTGCATTTAGAAAAGACGTTTTATGTACCTGGTTTTACTAGGAATTTGATTTCAGTTTCAAGACTTGTACTTTTGGGAATTTCCTTTAATTTTTCAGATTCTGGTTTCAGTATTTTCAGAAATTCTGAAGTTATTGGTTATGGTATTTTGTCTGATGGCTTATATCGTCTTTCTTTGCAAAATGATATCACTCATAATTTTATGCATGTTAATACTGGATTAAAAAGATGTATTATGAATGAGAACTCATCTATTTTGTGGCACCGGAGATTGGGACATATCTCCATTGAGAGAGTTAAGAGATTGGTAAAGGACGGAGTACTTACTACTTTAGACTTCACTAATTTTGACACTTGTGTTAGTTGCATTAAGGGAAAGCAAACTAACAAACACAAAATGGGTGCCAAAAGGAGTTCAAACATGTTAGAGATCATTCACACGGATATTTGTATCACCTTTATAGATGATTATTCACGATATATGTATCTTTACTTACTTCGTTCTAAGGACGAAGCTTTGGATGCCTTTAAATTGTTTAAGGTTGAAGTAGAGAAACAATGTGATAAGCACATAAAGATTGTGAGATCAGATAGAGGTGGAGAGTACTATGGTAGATACACTGAGAACGGACAAGCGCCAAGTCCATTTGCTAAATTTCTTCAAGAGCATGAGATTGTTGCCCAATACACTGTGCCTGGTTCTCCAGACCAAAATGGTGTAGCAGAAAGAAGAAATAGAACTTTAATGGACATGGTGAGAAGTATGAGAAGTAATGTTAAACTTCCATCATTCTTATGGGTTGATGCTCTTAAGACGGCAGCGTATATATTAAACCGGGTTCCTTCCAAGGCTGTCTCAAAGACACCTTTTGAGCTATTCAAAGGATGGAAACCGAGTTTGCAACATGTACGCATTTGGGGATGCCCGTCTGAGGTGAGAGTGTACAATCCACTAGAGAAGAAGCTAGATCCAAGGACTATTAGCGGGTATTTCATTGGATATGCTGAAAAGTCCAAGGGTTATAGATTCTATTGTCTAACTCATAGCACCAGAATTGTGGAATCAAGAAATGCTAAGTTTCTTGAAAATGACTTGATTAGTGGGAGTGATCAATTTCAGGACATTGTTCCTGAAAAGAATGATGATCAAATTC